AATCTTTATAAAAAAATTTCAATTATTGTTCAAGTTATGAAGATTTTTGTGACAGCATCCTCAAATTTTTGTGCGATTTTTTTCAAAACTTGTACCTACGTAGAACGCTATATCTCTTGAACTAGCCAACATATCTTGATGAAATTTTTTGTGCATATCAGTGAAACAATGTAATAACAAAAAAAATAAATGTTATTGTCTCGAATCAAGGGATATTTTGAACAATAAATCTAGAAAAAAATGAATTTTTTGAAAATTTTACCGACTTCAAAACAGCGTAGCTCAAAATCTATCGCAAAATAAATAAATATTTTTTGTTATTTTAGAAGTACCTTATAGTCACAAATAAATCACAAAATTTCGTTAAAATCTGTCGGAGCTCAAAATGTCAAAAAAATGAAAAACTTCTTTTGTTTGGCGCCATTTTTAACTATGAAGAACCAAACGTTTTTTAATTTTTAAAATTTTTTTATATAGTGCTTTTATAGCTTAACAACATATCAAAAAATAAAATTGGCGTTTGCTTTCTTTGAAAAATAAAACAACTTCAAAAACAGGCAAAACAAATTTTTTTCAAGTGTCAATTTTTTTTTATTTTTTTCAATTTAAAATTATTATACAACGTGCTAATGTGTTTAAAAACAGTTTCAGGAAGAGTTATGTGAATTTTTCCAACATAAGAAATGTTATCATCAGGTATAAGAATCAAAATATGTTTAAATGGTACATAGCAAATATAGGCCAATAAAAAATATTTTCTTTAAATTTCTTCAGACAGTTAACTTTTAAATCATCATTTTTATCATCTCTTTCTATAATGTTTCCTAAATACCATTTCTTATTATAGACCAAAGCTACAAATCGACCCGGCTCATAATCATCATTGGTGTCTTCACTTTCATTTTTATTAAAATTGTATCCAAATAAATCTGAAGACAAACGTTTCATCAAAAGTTGATCATTTTTGTCTGGAATAAATGAGTGATGACTTCGACAACCCTTTATTTTATCTGCTGACCTAAATCTTTTTCAAGCATTCCTAGCAGATCTTTAATTTCTTTTTTGTCTACCCAAAAAAATTTAATACCATTTATTTTCGCATCAGCGTATGTGTAAAAATCTCTGGCGTTCAATATCTGATCTTTTGTTGATGCCTGCAAACTTGCTCTTGCAACCAATCTTTTTGTTGTCCCTCCAATTCCATCGCAAGGACTTTTACCATGAAAAGTTGCAAAAAAGTGCCATTCTGCTTTTAATCCAAAATCCTCTTTGTGATGAATTAAATTAGAAAAATTTTTGTATTGACTTACCACACCATCAGAAAAATATTTAATTAAAGTAACGTTTTTCAGGTTTTGTTTTACATAGTTAATTAAATGTTTTTGAAAAGCATAAACATCGGAAACATTGTGATCGAGACAGTCGCTAATCATGCAAACGCTTTTGACAGATAAGTTTTCATAAATAAATAAATTAGTTTTCTGTAATAAAGAACAATTAGGTGAAGAGTAACTTGCGTGTTGCTCCAATGTTGACTCTGGATTGCATCCAGTATTATCATCAAATAATTTTCAGCAAAATCCATTAAAGCAATACACTCCGAACTTTTTAAATTTTTTTAGAATCGCTAAGATATTTCAATTGTTCTTTGCTTATGTAATGATGCGATGACAACTCGTCAAGTTTTTGCGAAAATCTTTCAATGATACTGTCAACTGTATCCTGTACGGAAATCAATGAACTGCGATTATCATCATGGGACCATTGATAAAAACTGATTGTGTTGTCAGTTGAAATTACAGCTTCTTCGAAAATCGCTCTTAAGTTATTTTCGACACTCAGTTTTCCTGGGCATTCCTCACATCTGTGTAACATACATTCTAAATTTTAAATTGAAAAAAATAAAAAATATTGACACTTGAAAAAAATTTGTTTTGCCTGTTTTTGAAGTTGTTTTATTTTTCAAAGAAAGCAAACGCCAATTTTATTTTTTTGATATGTTGTTAAGCTATAAAAGCACTATATAAAAAAATTTTAAAAATTAAAAAACGTTTGGTTCTTCATAGTTAAAAATGGCGCCAAACAAAATAAGATTTTCATTTTTTTGACATTTTGAGCTCCGATAGCTCAAAAAATTCAAAACAGATTTTAACGAAATTTTGTGATTTATTTGTGACTATAAGGTACTTCTAAAATAACAAAAAATATTTATTTATTTTGCGATAGATTTTGAGCTACGCTGTTTTGAAATCGGGGAAATTTTCAAAAAATTCATTTTTTTCTAGATTTATTGTTCAAAATATCCTTTGATTCGAGACAATAACATTTATTTTTTTTGTTATTACATTGTTTCACTGATATGCACAAAAATTTCATCAAGATATGTTGGCTAGTTCAAGAGATATAGCGTTCTACGTAGGTACAAGTTTTGAAAAAAATCGCTCAAAAATTTGAGGATGCTGTCACAAAAATCTTCATAACTTGAAAAATAATTGAAATTTTTTTATAAAGATTTTATTTTGTCGATGAAATACATTGAGGTACTTACTGTTCAAATTTTAAAAAAATCGGAGATGGTCGGGCGTGGACCATGGTTCAAGTTGACAGAGAATGACCCATATATATATATATATATATATATATATATATATATATAATTTATGGCAAAACAGATAGAACCTACCCAATACCTTTTTTGCCAATAATTTTTGATCAAATTTTCTTATGCTTCTGTGGTTTAAATGTATTAAAAATTTAGAAACAAATAAAAATATTAGATAAAATGCCTACAGAATATAAACCAAGACCTGATCCTAAGCAAGAAAAAGAACCATAAGTCGCCCACGCCAGGAACGTGGATTGGCATCTATTGAGGCCATTTATCCAACAAATACGATAAATGAAATTTGCGGGTACTTAGAACGTGAAACATATTAGAAAGCGTATAAAATTGAACAAGTTCAAACTTTAAAAATTCAAATTTTCATGGTATGAATTAAAGTGGATAAAAAACGTTGAGTAAGAATAAGAAGCATTTTGTGTGAATTGTTGTTGATGCTTTTTTGTTGATATGATTGATATAATTACGATTGCTGTTATTATTCATCCGATATTTGTTTCGTTTTTGTATCCTCCTTGTGAAAAGCAGCAACGCCCCATTTGACGATAATAACAGTCTCCGCATTGGAAATACAGCCATTTGAACGATTTTCATTTAACACTTTTTACTTTCATTACCTCTAGCGAATTTATTTTGACGAGCATCAATTTCATCATCACCCTCCTTGCTGTCATCATCATCATCGACCTCCTTGTTATCATCCTCATCATCACCGCCGGCATCCACCTCCTATGGTATCTCAGTGTTGAGAATTTATTCAAAGCACGCCCAGCGATCATTGAATTGACACATTAAACTCCGATGCCACTCACCACTGAACAACTCTTCAACTTATTTCACTCAGGCGTTCAGTTCTGCCTCGACCACATTCGATTGTTACGAGGCTACTGAACTGTTACGAATGCACACACATATTCCATCAATGTGTGTGTGTGTGTGTATATATATATATATATATATATATATATATATATATATATATATATATATATATATATATATATATATATATATATATCTAGAAAGAAAGAGAGAGAGAGAGAGAGAGACTGTCATGCACACAATGGTTACAAATACTTTGCATTTTAAGCTTTGATTAGTTTCTCGTTTAGTTGTTCAATATTTCGTTTTTCCTTCGGTATTTTTTTTATCCATAGTTTATATACATATATACACACTATACACATACACACACGCACGCACACACACACTCTTATATATATATATATATATATATATATATATATATATATATATAAATGTGTGTGTGTGTGTAGAATAATTGTCTAAAAATAATGAGCTTGAAATAGTATAGTAATGATGAATATTTAAATAAAAAGCCATTGAATTTCACATTCGTGTGGTGTGTGTACAGTACATGCACATGCACACTGTACGGACTTTGAAAATATCGACAGCAGAAATATTTTATGTGGCGAGAATAAAAATTTTTGAATAAATTAAACCTATCATCTATTTTATATTTTTAGAACTTCTAATATATCTACGGCCTTAAAATTAATGGGTTGAACGTGCTCGCTCTTCTGACTTTCAACTTCAGGTTCCTATTCGTCAAATTTTTTACCAGTTTCTAACTTTTTGATGACCTATTACCTTTGTTCTCGTGAAAATTGAGTTCATATAATATTTAACAAAAGTAATATAATTAGATACAGTTTCTCTTGAAGAATTTGATTTTATTCCAAATTTTAATACATTAAATGAATAAAATAGCAATAATCACACCCATTACATTCTATTTTCGTAACTTTATTGATTCTGAATAAGGCGCATAAAATTTTTATTTATTTTTTTAGTTCTTGGGGTTTGAAATGGAAGCCAGCTCATTGGAAAGCATTTCAGTTCTCTGCACTTCACTTCATTCATGATTGTCTGCAGAAGAACGTGCTGGAGAGTGCTTTATGTGGACAATTTAGTATGGTAACTATATTTAATATTGATTATTATTATTCAATATTATAATAATCAATATTATAATTTTTTTATTATTATGGTAATCATCACAATCGTCATCATCATCATCATCATCATCATCATCATCATCATCATCATCATAGCCATCTTTTTCCTTTTATTATTATTATTATTCCGCACACACACGCACGCACGTATCCTTCATTCAAATTCAATTTTTTCAAACTATTATTTACGCTGAAGGACATTTTTGCTGATAAGAGAGGGGGGACTACAATGGGGTGATGATGGCGATGTCATATTCGTGATGGTGATGAGATGATGAAGATGATGATGTTGACTATGAAGATGAGGATGGTGATGATGAAGATGATGATGACGATGAAGATGATGATGGAGACGATGAACATGGTGATGGCGATGGTGACGATGGTAATGTGGGTGATGATATTGGTAATGATGATGGTATGGTAGTTGTGAAACGTTGATAATGCCGATAATATATATGCCTAAGCTCATAAACCACAAATATTTATTGAAAAAACCCTACATGAATATTCATACCATCATTAGCATAAATGAGTTTACGTATAATTCACAGTATGTTGAAAAGACAAGACAGAGTAACATTTGAGAAGTGCTGATGCACATTAGCAACAGACAAACAACAAGCAAAATGCAAACAACCAACAGCAAACAAGAAAGCAGAACCAAGCACTAATAAACTCAACAATACTTGAAAATGATTTAGAATTAATACATTTCTTACGACAAATGCAATGAAAAACAAATTTAATGACATTTAAATTTATGAGAGGGCTAAACGTACCAAGAAAGTTTCAAAAAGAAAAATGTTTGGCATTGATGTTTCATCATTTCAAATAAAAATAACCACCTGAAATTAAATTTTTCTGAACAAAAGAATTTTTTGTCGTTTCGTTTGAATGCTAATTATTGAGTTTAAAATTTTGTGAAATTTTATAATTAAATTAAAATAAATTAAATTAAAAATAAAATGATAATGAAAGTGTTTTTAGTAATAATAAAATAAAATTAATAAAGGTATTAATAATAATAATAAAAACAACAACAATAAAAATGATGATGAGGATGATGATGATAAATATTGTGGGTGAGTTTCAGTGCATTGTCAAGGTTTAATGTTGGTGAAATATGATGAATATGATGTTGGTTTCGAATATGATGTAAAAATGGTAAACAAGCAGAAATATTTCGGTAAATGAAGAAATAAAAAGAGTTATTGTGACATTGTATATTTTGAACATTAAAAAAAATTTAAGATTAAGTTTTTTAATTGATCTGATTTTAATAAAATTTAATTTTGTTACTTGACGAATACTTCATTTGATTGTAAAGGTTTTTGTTGTGTTGTATTTTAACAGATAATTTACAAATAAAAAAACATCCAACGAGACATGGGGCGTTAAACTTTTATTTTGGAAAGTGTGTAGATGTAAAAGTAAAATGAGTGTACAAAGAGAAAGAATTGTCCCGAAAGTATTTGTAAAGTAAAAAAATCGTAGAAGCAAAAATAATTTTGTAAGTAGTATATGACGTAGAAAACACGATAATGATGCAATAGAATATTTTTTTTATATGATTTATATTTTAAGTTTGTGGCTTAACTTTAATATTCTATATAATCGTTGTTTTAAAAAATCTCAATAATAAATTCAGAACTTTGTTATTTTCACGATTGGGAATTTGTTTAATTTTTCTCACAGTGATTTGCTTGAATCATTCTCAAAACAGTCTCAAATGACTTTTCCCTTAAATCACAAAAATACGGAATTAAAAAAAAACTGCAAACTGACTTGACAGTAGGAGTAGAGAGAAGGTTAAGATGGATGGACGTCTGTTTGATGACGGCCCAGTGATGTTGATGATGAGGATGGAAAGGACATTAGTTGCAGTCGGCACGACGACGACGATGTGCAGGATGGAGATGGTGGTGGCGACTATGGTGGTGATGACCAGGGGAAAAGTTGCAACAAGCGTCTCCAACCGATTGCACAACATGTTACTTTTTAATTTCAAACTTTGCATACGCGGAATCTATTCAAAAGGCCACTGCCAGAATAATCCTGCCGTTTTAATTCTGAAAAAAAAATAAAAAAATATTTTATAATCTTTTCAGAAATTTTAGTTTTGCTGTTGGCAACAAAAATGGTGATAACTTCATGTTGTGAATGAAATGCAAAACGGTCACACTGAAACTTTAAATTTGGACGTTGCTTTATGCAATGGTGTTGTACAACGGGCACGTGGCTTGACAAAACCCACGAAACACTAAAAACTTCAAAAATTCAAATATAGCTAATAAAGTCTTCAAGATGATGTGCATGAATGGAAGTTGAAAATATCGTCAAACAACACTTTAATCCAGCCCAATAAATTCTTCGATCTTACGATCGTTCGTTCAACGATTGTGCATTCTTTTTTATTGTAAAAATGTCACTGGTTCAGATGCTTGATTTTTTTTCTAAGCATAACTTCTGTTTTCATGCTCAACCGTTTTTTATTTAATTTATAGTTCCAATCAAAATTAAAAACATCAACCCCCCGCACGTGTCCATCAATGGATTTCAATAAAGAAATTTCTTCCCAGGAGCCTTGCTGGAGATTTTCATCTTTTTTATTGTTATGGTCAGTGTGATTAAAAACACTACATTACATTAAAAACATTTTCCCATCAAATTCCATGTTGACTTTTTTATTTTAATCGGAAGCATTTACTTGCACTGAACAGAATTTTGTCTTTATAACATATCATCTTATCCCACCGTAGGCAATCCAGTTAAATTTTATGACGTTTTTGTTTTACTTAAAAAATTCAGATCCTAACTAAACGCAGAAATATTTATAAATGTTTTTAAAAGCCTTTTGGTCATGAACCAGTTGCAACGGTTTTGAACTGACTCGCCACCATTACGATGCACGGACAGCAGGAGATGGCACTGACGTTGCAAGTATATATTTTCAGCTACTCAATGAAAATAATGATATCATTCATGGC